TTGATGCTTGAAGTGCGAACTTCCTCTAAAAGGCTCTGAGTCTCATATTGACTCTTTAACATGTTTGCTTGGCCTGAGATTCTTCCTCTGGGGCGCATATCCCATTACTGTTTAGAAAAGTGACAGCAGTGTTGGTGGTATACACGTTGTGACTGAGTATGCGGTTTTCTTATCTTTTTAACTCTCTGTGTCCAGGCAATGGTAAATGCCCATGTGGATGCAGTGATGATTCTTGGTGAGGCCTTCGCCTCCACAGACCCTTTCAACTTCGGTTCTCAGTCCACCACGGAGAGAATCCACAACCTCATCCCCGTGATGCTCAAACACCGTCTCACTCCGCCTCCAGAGGAAACATACTCACTGCACCGCAAGATGGGCGGCTCGTTCCTTATCTGCTCCCGGCTGAATGCAAAGCTGCCGTGTAAGGAGATGTTCCAAACGGCGTATCAGAAGTACTGGGAAGGCCGCACACCGCCTTCTCACTAAGCCTAAGCCAGACTGAAGTGTCAGGTGTTTTGATGGACAGATCCTGGGGCCAACAGCAAGGTGCCCGTCGATGTGAGGCCAGGGTGAGAAGATGCAGAACTGCTGAGCGGAGGCCATGTTACCTGCCCCTTAACTGGTGACTGAGCACCAGCTTATCTTTCCCATTTTAGGGAGCCCACCACAATGATGTTTTGAGAGACACTTATACATATTTACAGCCACCATTTCTCAAAGGTAAAGGGAGCAGCAACATGGCATCTGGAGTGCTTTAACTCTTGCCTATTTATGGCCCTGAAAGACAGGACTGAAAAGAGGTGGATGTATGGAAGGAGAGAGGAAAACAACCTTGTTTAGGTGTAAAATGTTGGCATTCTCTCTCCTCATGTTTTCAATAGGATTCATGTTTTGTTTTGTTTTTTTTGTTTGTTTTGTATTGCCGTGTTTTCTTGAACTTTTGGAAAATCACAATCAAGTGTCCAAGTGTTTGCCATCTGCCAGAAATGTCATGGTTGGTAACATTAAATATATATTATGGTAGAAGACCGAACTTGTATTGTGAAATCAGTCACAAAAGAATAGGGTTACACAGTATATGGTCAGTACAAGTCACAGTGTTGACCAGGACCAACTTGTCTGGCTATTATTGCTTCTATTATTTTTCAAGGAGGTTCGATTAGATTGTCTGGAGGCTTTAGTGTAAATTTAGACAGCAAAGTAAATGCCACAGTTTTGATACAAACAAAATAGTTTAGAAACAAATTCAGTGTTCAAATTTAGGTTTGTTGCCAAGTGATCAAGTTCCAAGTTAGATGTAGGCATCTGCGGAAAAGGTGACAAAGTGGAATTTGTCAAGATTAATTTAACTCATGCAGAGAATATATAGTATACAGAATAATCTGTATCATTCAGCCATCCAGATTTACGGCACTGAATGATTTATTTAATTTAGGTTGCTATTTATAGCTTTTAGCTTTGAGGGCATACCATTGATTAAAACTGTCAGTCTGTTTCAAATGACATCCAGCATCTGTATGTTTTTAATGAATGATTTAGATCCGTTTGTGTCTGGGGATGAAGGTGCAGAGCTCCTGCTAAAAAAAAAAACATCTAGAAAATGAACCCACATGGATCCATGTTGCTCTCTCTTAAGATGAGGCCCATATCAACACTTCACCTGTGCTCTGTCATGAATGTTAATGCGGAGGAATGGAAGAAGCTCATCTTGATATCGCACAAGCTCAGCTCATGGGCTCACCTTGGTTCAAATTCAGTAATCTCTCCACGCCTTCTCGGGTGTGAAATCCTCCGTCACCTGGTTGGTGTGTGACTGTGAAAGTTCTTTCTTCTCTGCTGTGTGAATACAGTTAAAATGGTCTCCGGTGTGAAGATGGAAAAAATCATTAGAAATACAAAAAAAAAAAACAAGGTGCCTGTAGTTTCCAGTGGAAAGTTTTTAGCTAGAAATCTCTGTATTTCATATCAAGAAAAGATGGTTTAAATTTTCTAATCAAAATGCGTTCTTAACTGAAAGTTGTGATAAAGATATCCCACAAAAAGAGTAAATGTTTGATCTACTAAATTGGCTCTGGGTGCTTTTGTGTGTGTGTGCGGTCTTAATACTTTCAGTCCATTTAAGGACTGTAGCTCTTACGAGAAACATCAAATAGTGTGTCACTGCCTTTGGAAAAAAATGTAGATCTCAATGTATATGTAATGTCTCCTGGCTTGGTTAAGAGACTGTAATATGAGTTCAGAAGAGGGGGAAAAAAAAAACCCAGTGGAAATACAGTAGACAGACACAGACTTTGTCTTCCTTATTTAGCAATGTCTTGGCCAGTGGTGGAGGAACGGGCACAGAGCCTGGGAAAAGAGCACACACGCACAAACACTCACAGAAAATACACATGCATACACTTAGACATCTGGGCAAATGAATCATGCCAGTGCTCATGTACAGGAAATCTAGTGGGTAAAAGCGGATACATGTAGATACACACGTAGGCACCCTCCTCTATAAGTCTTCCTCTCTTTTGATACTGAAAATGTACACACACGTTTTTTCCAAATAATCCAGGGCTGCGGTCTTTCAGTATTAAACTCACGGGATGCTGTAATTCATCTCGCTGTCCAGCACATGGCGCTGTTGTGTTACACAGTTACTCAGGTCGTGTTGAGTAGAGCTCCTGCAGTTCCTGAAATACCCAATAAAAGAACAACACACAAGCAGCCTGAAGCTAGGCAGGTAATTATATGAAACTCACACTTGATATGTCATATCTGCTTTATTACACAATATCCTGTGAGCAGGGCTTGGAGAAATTAGAGTAAAAGATGATTACACAAAGCAACAGTGGTCATTAGATGCATTTTTTTGGCTGACAAACTAATATCCTAAAGCACTTATTAAGTCAATTTTATCCAGCGGGAGTTCAATAGTCTCATGGAAGCGTGGAAGTTTCATACATTGTCATTAATTCCAGTCAAATACCATTTGTTGTTTCCCAGAATATATTTTCTAAAACTGTATTCTAGAAACCACATTTGACTCCCAGCCAGATGAAACGAGTGAAACACTGACTGCCCTCAGAGTATCTTAATCACAAGGTCATTACCCAAGAAGGCCAGTTTCTTGTAAATACTTTGCAATTAGAAAACTGGTTGGTTTTCAAGAGGCTTGGATATTGAGTGACTGGCTGAATTAAATCCAGTTTGTGTCCAGTTTTTGGAAAAGGTTGTCACTGTGTTACATCTCGGTGACCTGAATGTGTTTTGACATTGCAACTTGTCGAGCTGAGATGGAAACATCTCAACTGCGGTTGTGTTTACACTACGCGGAGGATGGTGGGGGTGGGGGGGATGTTGTGCACCCTAGTTGTCTGGTCAGAAAGTACGAGTGGTGTGAAATCCTTATTTGGTGACAGAGGACACTCAGAAGTCTGGGCTCAGTCCTTACAGTCAAACAAACTCACAGCACAAACTTTGCCAGGTTTCTTCACTGTGATTTTGCATCTTAGTTATCCTCAACACCAGCACATTACTGTACAGATGGTTAATGAAACTATTTTTATTATCGCCATGGAAACAGAGTTCATATGGTTTTAGTGTGGAGTACTCAAGAAGTGCTCTGAGCCTTTAAGCTTAATCAGATAAACTCACTTCCTGCCTGGAAGAAACCTGCAGCAGAGTTGTGTATTTGTCAAGATATGACACTTTTTCTTGTCACCAAATACAATTTTCCTCTTCCTTCTGCTTCATTACTAATTTTAGATTCACACATTTTACTGATTGTACCTGAAATGTGTTACCTCTGTGTTCTGTTACCTTTGCCGCCCTTGTGTACTTATGTCTCTGTCTTCCCCTTTGTCTGTCTGTTCCATCGACTGTTGTCAATGTGTTACCCTGTGGATTATTGTTCTCTTGTTGGCATTCATGTTAGCCCATCATCGTGCTCCAGTGTTTAGTTCCTGCCTGGTTTTATTTTGGATTCCTGGTTTTGTAAGTTTCTGTTTTGTCATTAACCTTTGTTTTTTACCTACCCCTTATTGATTGTCTGCATTTTGGGTTCAGCTTGGGTTCAGAGTTTACAATCTAGCAATTGTTAAATAGCTCTAAACAGGCACTGCTGCTAATGGGAGTTGGTTTGTTTGTAAACCAAAGTATCGGCAAATTAAAAGTTTGAACTGATGATGGTGCTGGAAGAAAAACTAAGGGATCACTAAAAGTCATTACATTTCATCCTTTAGGGGACAGGAATGTCACAAATGTCATGGCAGTTGTTGAAACCTTTCAAACCACAAATGTCAACTTCATGGTGACGCCAGATAGAAACCAAAAACAGAGGGGATCACCAAAGTCATCAGGATTTATTCTCTGGGGACCATGGCAGTCCGTATAGAGTCACACCACTAATAATGGTGTTTAAACAAATAAATGCATCAGTGATGCTCAAGAAGAAAAAGTGCTCTGCATGCTCACTGAAAAGTTAGTCTAGTTTCTGTTGGAGAAATTAATTAATAATGAATTAATAAAAAACATGTGAAAAATTGAATTTAGAGCAAACTGTGTCAAAGACACCACAGCCACCATCACAGAGACAACAGTTTCCATGTCAAGGTCTGTTGCAAGCTCAGCCATATTCAGAGAGGAATGTTTATTCATGAGTTAGATGTGAAGTGACACTTCATTTATTTCCATGAAAATGTGCACATGCTGATAGTGTACCTGCAAGGGTAAGTGCTACTCTCTGAATACACAATATTTCACCAGTGACTGCAGAATTCCTCAGATCCTCATCTCTCAGAGCAGGATGAGACCCTCAACCAGCTGGAACGCAGGAAACAGGAAATACTTCCGCCTCCTGCAACAGTGACTTCTGAGGAGTCCTTGAGCAGGGCACTAAATCTGCTGCTCTAGTTCAGAAGCTGGATAGATCTCAGGTGTGAGAATGCAAAGTTGTTTTGAAACAGCTCAGCATCAAAAAATTCATTCTTTGTATAAAATAGTCTATACCTATCTATTAATTACGAGCAATACTGATTCACATTATATCAAAAACAAACAAAAAAAACAAAACACATACATCACAGGTATTCAGTAAGTAGAACCAAAACTGCTTTTAATCGCAAGAATTTGTATCAGTCACCTCAAAGGGCTTAAAATAAAATCAATATTGCAAAGTCACAGAATAAAGCTACAATCTTAAAATAGTTAAGTTAGTCTGTGTGTGCATGTGTATGTTACTCTGTACAGTCGTTTAACACCAAAGATATGCATGCAGAAAACTGTACACGGCAGTATGTTCATTCTACAATCGAAAAGCGAACACAACACCATCGTCATGGAAAAAAACATTACAATTTGTCAATATTGACCCTGAAACAGAATCAGTGTTTAGGGCTGAAAGGTTGATTATAATAAAGTGTTTAAATAACAATATGTCATATTCTCTAAATTGCGCCCAACCCAAACAAAGTAAAGAAACTCCAGCACCACTGCTACAGAAACACTTATGGGAGAACACTGGTCATTTGTAAGGCATAAAATATCAGAAGTACAGACGTTATCTTTCTCACACACAAAAACTGTACAACATACACAGAGTCAAAACGTAAAAACATTAGTGTTGTCATTCAAAAATAGAGTAGAGCTCTCAAAAAGGCATTTGGCTAAGATAATGAATGAAACCCTACAGAGTTAACTGAGGGAAAAAAAATCACCAGTAGAAAAACAGATGAAGAGGAGGAAAAAATCACAGCGTGAATTAAGGTTTGATTTCTATTGAGGCACAAACACTTTTTTTATTATGAATGAATTTATCTCAACTTTTACCCAGAAATGCTGCCCTACATTTGCAGAATCTGTCCAATATATCAATGTGCTGTAGGGCAGTAACTGAGCTGAGCACTCATTTCCTGCAAACGCACTTGCAGTGATTTTGATTTACTGCTTTCCATCAGTGTTATGGCTCACGCTAACTGTTTTGATTCTTTTCATTTTAAGGCTGTTTGACTTTTGATACTCTTGGATATTTTTCAGGGAAATAAGCCAATGATACAGTATCTTAGAAAGCTAATGTGGCATCATGGGAAAAGCCTTGTTTGGATCAACACTTCCAAGGCAGTTGTTGTGTTAAATATTACAACTTTATGAGTTTAGAACATCATTTATGACCTAAACACCCTCCCATATAGTAATACTGAGCCCACAGCATATATAGTATTCCCCAGTCTCCATATTACACACAATCAGTCATACACACAAACACACATCGATATATAGATAATTTACACATTTTGGTTTTGTACTCGACACAACTGTGAATTCAACAACCTTAAGATTTTATTATGTTACTATTTCTACTGGGGTTTCTTATGGGAGCTGATGACTCTTAGTGACTCTCATCAATCAATGTAAATGAGCCAAAACTAGCCATTCAAACACTGCACCCTAGTCACATGCCTCAGTGACATTACTGTAACTGAATCTTAAAGTCGTGATGTGACAGACAGGGTGGTTACTATAGTTCCCCAGTGAGGCCAGTAATGAGAGGTGATATTTTGAAACCTGCTATTTAGATACAACGTTAATAATGTGTGATATCGTTCTGACACTGATTTACACATTAAAGAGGTACGACAGTACAAATCTAATAATTATCAGGAAGGATGAGTCATTTTTACACACAGCCCTGACATTTCAGGATACCATGCATCTTGTGACCAACAGTGAGATACAGCAGGTTAAAGATGTGATTGCTATTGAAACGTTGTGTTGTACCTACTGTTAAGACTAATGGAAGGGTTGCTAACACCTTCATCATAATCAAGTTATCATTTAAACTGTCTACGCTGAATATAGAGTATCAGAGACATTTATAGTTTGATTACATGTTTGTTCCACACTCATTGCTTGAATAAATGCTGATTCTGTGCGCAGTAAACACCGTTTTCCTCACCGTTTAGAGAAGATGCAACATGTTTAAGAATGAGAACCTCAAACCCCTTAAAGTTAAATATATTGTACCTTTTCAGACCAGCAAAATTGTGTCGATATCACAATAGAAAGGCCACTAAAACACACTAGAGGCTAATGCTAAAGTCAGTTTTTGAAACAGTAAACTCTCCAATAAACATCAACACTGAAATAAACTGCTTTAAGCAGAGTGGCAGCTGCACCAGGCAGCCAATTCAGGGGCAGTGGAAACTCTGTTTGTGTTTTGAGCCCAATGACATATGATTCATCACTGAGCCAAATACACCTGTCACAGCAACATTGTTATGGATGGATATCATTTGCTGAAGTAGTTTTTTCTCTATATTTTGTTCAACTGGGTTCTGGCAAAAATGCACAAGCCAAAAACACAAAGCTGGCAAATCAGTGTCTTAATTATTTCACGTCCTCATGCTAATGGATCGTCTTTTGTTCTTCATTTATTCCATCATGTCCTGTAGGAAATATGTTGGTGACCTACAGCTTTTACAGATTTGTGGTTTCAGTCAAATTGATCAAATAAAAAATACCGAAAGACAGAATTCAAAAATCACAGCTAGAATCACTCAACAAAACACATTGTTATTCATATCCACTGTATTTCTTGTGACTGTACAGTTGAAGTCTCTTCCTCCCATCTTGTTTCTTTTAATTGTAAATGTAAATGTGGCCTGGTGTTGACCAATCACCAGCCAGCAATCAAATACTTTCACAAAGGGCAGTCTCTCTGATTCACTTTGACTAAACCATTTTCATCATGTCTCTTCCTCTCTCTGTTGTCAGCTACAGGTCATCACGAAGGTAAAGGTCGCTGTCAGGCTTCAGGGTGTGTCCTGATCCATCAGGTAACATGAGAGCGACGTCTCTCAGACATCTTGGGGAACACCCTGGTCTCTACAGCCTGAGGAAGAGGAAGGTGAGTTGCAGACAGAGGAAGGGGAAAAGAAAAAGATGTTTGACTGCTTGTAGAAATAATCATTGTAAACTATTATCTGGCTTTTATGTCCCCAGTTAAGAGGGGGTTTAAAGTGCTACATGCAATTACAAAACATTTGTTTTGAACTTTTGACAGTAATTGCCTTTCTCCATTTCATTTAATTGAGCAAAATGAAAGCAGAGAGGTTGGCATCAGCAACAGGAGGTAGGCTGAAGCATTAAGAGCTAAAGCTTTATAAAGCATTGGCTGGCAGGTTTAGCTATTACCTCAACTTCCCCAAAGTGGCAAACAATACTAGTCTGGCTTGCATTATGTTTTCAGATCGATTAGAAACTCCATGAGTGATGACTTATTAATGAGCCAACATTTCTACAATCAGGAGCGTGACAGCCTCACTAAGCACACAGTTTGTGCGTCACTCATTGTGATCTGGAAAGAATCAACAGACATTTGGTCAGGAACGTGTGTCATTTCAAGTAAATGATGGAAAGGTCCTTGTGTAACTGAAACATCAAAAAGAATCCCTACCATTAATCTTCACCTTCTGTTTTTAAAGCTGCCATGTTGAATTTTACCAACTACTAGTAGCGCTGCAGAGGAATGTTTTGAAGAGTGGGTTTTGTTAGCATGTTAGCATCTGTGATGTACAATCCTGCTGACAGTTTCATACTGTTCCTCTGATCAAACAGTTGGTGGCAGTTCGTCTCTAAGAAACTGAGCAATGCAGGGAAGAAGAAGAAGACTGCTAGCAAGTAAGCATGGATGTAAACAATGTAGGTTTCAAATTCTTCAAAAAATTGGTTTTGCAAATATTTTATGAGGAAGGAAACATAGTTCTTTAGGTCTCATAGATACAGACTAAAAACTATGAACACATCTTGGCAGCTATTCTGGAAATTTCTTATCAATTATCAGATGAAGCAGATGAAGTTTGCTCATTTGTCATAAGGCTTTAAACCGCATCACATGCTCCTCATCACGGGATGGGATAATTTGACTGTAAGACTGTGTGATAAGAGCTCTGGAAAGAGCTAGTAAGTGTACCTTTGACAGGTTTTTTTTATCAAACCATTATTTTTATGGTCAAGAACAAACTTTGATATTTTATATAAGGAAACATGGACAAGGAGTCCGGGAAGAGCTCATGTTTAAACAGAGCTCCAAGACAACTCAGCGAACTCTGTCCACTGATGACCATGTTGAAAACTTGTGAAGTGAACTTCGATGCTTAAACTCATGAGGTTTGGATCGTCTCTGTGAGGATACCAAACATACTTTGTAATTTCTTTGTACAGCTCAGATGAAAGGTCGTGAGAAAGTCCTGAAAAGATGTTATTTCTAAGCCTGGGATATGTGGTTATTTGTTTTGGCATGCTTGATATCTGTGTTAATTTTAGTCCAGCTGACTATTCATCTTGTGATATGCTTCTAAATCGCAATTTCATCAACTCACTGGGGAAACTGTTGATAGTGAGTGAAGGAAAAAAGAAACACCTACCATCAGAGACTTTGGTTCATGAAGACGGAGAGCAGAGGGAGGAGAGAAGAAATAAGACAGATTCGGTTAATCATGATTTGTTTTTGCAAACACTATGTATTTGTGAAGTTGATTGTCTCGGAGTAACACTAAACAGGTGAAACAATGCACTCTAGGAACTTTCAAGGAGAAAAGAAAACCTGATCTGACCTTGTTTGATTCAGATATATTACATGACCAAATGTACACAAGTACAGCAACACTACCTCGGTTTACTGGATCGATGAACAGAGAGAGATGGAGACAGGAAAAGAGGGAGACGGAGCGAATGAAAAACAAAAACTGAAGAAGAAACTGAGGCAGAGAGGGAGACTGGGAGACTGGGAGGGTGGGCAGAGAGTGGGAGGAATAATGTGAGAGAGAAAGAGAGGGAGCAGGGATATGGCTAGATCATATAGGAGCAATCATTAGATAGAGAAGAAGGTGATCAGTGGGAGGAAGATAATGCCATGATCATTAGATGGAGAAAGAGAAAAGAGGGAGGGGAGTTCGTAGAGATGGAGGTATGGAAATAAAGAATACATTGATCATATCTAACACAGGCTCATTGGAGAGGAATAGAAAGACAGAGAGGGAAGAAGAAAATTGATAAATACGCCACATTATCAGAGTGATTCATTGCACGGAGGAAGAAAGAGGGAATATCTTAATAAGAGCCTAAAGCTCGTGTATTGTGGTGATGAGTAGCTGAATAATAATTAATCTTAGTAGGAAAGAGCATGCATGTTTTCAGCATGACGATGTGACCTTCGGTGCTAACAGGAAAAGGATTTTCATATTCGATATGAATATTCGATACACTGCTAGCTGTGAACGTTAACAGGAGTATAGATGTTAGCAGCAACAGTTGAATACAGTGTGTGCCCAGAGGCCTGAAAAACAGCAGGGAGCAGTGAACAAAAACACAGCGGGGGGGCTGCTCTCTCCCACACAATTACTGTTCCTCACACACACACACACACACACACACACACACACACACACACACATACACACACACACAAACACATAAACACATAAACACACACAGACTCTTGCAGGCATGTACACATTTGGATGCACATACACATGCACATCCTCATACATACAGAAAGATAGAGACAGAAAGACAGTACTATGGTAATACAAAGGCTGCCTTGGCACAGCGAGAGAATACTCTGTGTGTGTGTGTGTGTGTGTGTTTGTGTGTGTGTGTGTGTGTGTTTGTGTGTGTGTGTGTCGGCACTTGTTCATGCATCAGTGCCTCAGGAGAAGACACTACTTTCTTTTATTCTTATATCAGATGTTTCTGCAAGAGAAATATAAGACCCTCGAAAAAAATTTGTGCTGCCCAGAGCTGCTAATTGTCCCATGTTGTGAACACAAGACTTAAAGGATAAGGCTGGCAATACTCAATATTTTTGTTGTTGTCAACAAATCCTATAAAAAATGAAAAGACCTGAACCAATAGTAAGTTATTCTGTCAATGCTTTCTGAGTTCCCCGGACGGACTGTGGCACCTGAGCTATTGGTTTCTGAAGATTAATTTTTTTTTTTTTAAATGCCTAAATAGTTTTCTAAAACAGTTGGACACTAGTTTTCAGCAAACATTAATCAAACAGGAGTAAACAGTACATTTGTTGGGTCTATTTTCAGCTGTGGATTAATAATCATTTGATGTATAGTGAGTACTTAAAGCAACTGGACAGTGTGCTGTATTCGGGAGTCTAAACTACCCTGCCCATGCACATCATGATCTAGAAATGTGCCACCCAGTGCAACAGTGTGGCTCACTGGTGCGTTTTTAATAGCTTTTGGACAATTTGAAAAAGTGCTGCACACCTGAATATATGACAGATGCATCAGATACACTGTTTCTTACTACTGGTATTATTTTATGACATTTCAGTCAGTAATCTACAGTGCCACTACTCGAACTACCTGTAAATGAAAAAATATTGTAACAGTGTTTCAACAATTATAGAGATCTATGACTCATACTGTATATCACGTTTTGGCTACATGGACAATGTTTACTGGTAGGATCAATTCATTGCTGGTTTTGTTTGTTATTGAATAATTAAAAAAATATCACCAGACTTATCCTTTAAATTATTAATAAAATATCCTTGAAAACTCAACTTAACACATTTGTGAGGAAATCACTGAATCCGACAAAGATTTAATCGCTCTACCCCTGACCTTTTCACGACACCGATGTTTGACCCAGAAACCTGAAAAACAGACTGATTACTTACAAACTGCAAGTATTATCTTTTTTTTTTTTTCCTGATGTAAAAATCTTGTCATTCTTAAGTTGGACTTTATAGACCAAACTAAGACACCTACTACATGTTACATGTGACACAGACAAAAGAAAAAGGGGACGAGACTTAAAATAAAAGGCGAAGAGAACAGACAACAAGACTGTCAGAAAGATAAACAGATCGACAGCTACTGACTCGCGAGGATGACCATGTCCATTCCCCAGAAGATGCTCATGATCCATCCAACCATGATAACGGCCGTCAGTATCTGGATCAGGGCTGCTGCCACATTGAGCCAGAACACACAGCACACACCTCGCTCGGAGATCAGCTCACTGCGAGCTCCACACAGCACCGTGAACGCTGAGATGAAGGTACCTGTGGGACAAACCCGGAAAGACATCTTGTTACATCAGTGCATTTGACTCCATGATATGTTTAGCCAAACATGATAAAAGGCTTTGAAAGAGATTTCCACTCTGCTTCATTTCCAGTGACATGCACCAGACTCCAGACTTTCCAATTCAATAAACTGGGAGACATGTGCTGTCCTCCACTGAAAAAGTGACACAGTGTAATTCACAGCAGTGCTTACTCATACTAACATCCTCCTTGCTAACAAGCTGATGCTTAGCAGGTAACTTTTTTACCCTGTTTACTTTAGCCTGTTAGCATGGTAACACTTGCTGATTATCGCTACACACAATGACTGATGTGTGATTATTGATTAATGAGGCAATGTGATAAGTAGAGCAGGTACTGGATCACCAAAGGTTCACCCTACCAACACCATATGCTGTATATCTGTACTAGATTTCATGATAATCCATACTGTAGCCTAATTGTTAAGATATTTCAGTAAAAAAGTCAGAGGATCAGCAAAGTTTTGGGACTTGAATGTTCCCAAAACTCCATCTAATAGCTGCAGAGATATTTCCAGCAAGTCTTCCAACCTTAATGAAGGTTAAAATATAGGTCAAATAAACTGTAAGCATTAGTTTTGTAGCCTAGCCCTAGGTACTATCACATACAGTACTGTGGACAGACTTAAACCGCTCAATACAGAGTTATCCCACACAGACCACTCAACGTCCCTGAGTAAGTGAGTCAATATTTAAGAGGCTGCTCTTGGTGAGTATCTGTTAAGTACTATGGTTCCAGTGGATCCATGCCTTGGAAAATAGTACAGAAAGAAGCACACACATTGATGCTCACATCCACTGTTGCTGAGATGAAACAGGATTATCTCTGTGGACAACTCTTGTCTGCCTGAATGAAATCCAATACCACCCCTCATCCTGTTATCTGGAGACCTGGAACTTCCCAGAACCTGTTCATTGTACAGTAAATCCACTGTAACTGTGTGTGTGTGACAAACACAGAGGCAAGTGTAAACCTCAGTGCTCACAAATCAGATTATTTCATCACAGAATGTTTCCATAACAACACCCCCTCAGGAAAAGCACACACACACACACACACACACACACACACACACACACACACACACACACACACACAAACTCTGTATATAAACTATGATTTTTACTCTGTGTCTCAGATCTACCTCATATTATCAATGGTATTTTTATATTTGCCTACTTAGCAATCATTTTAGCAGTGTGCAATATATTTTATTTTTTAGCAGCCTGCAGTGTATTTTATTTTTTATGACTTGCTATTTTTATTTTGAAGTATAACATCAGTTCTATAATAGTTCTATAATAGGAGCTTCCTGTCCACCACTCCTAAATACAGAAACAAGAGGGGTCAACCAAAACAGAAAGTGATTCTAACGTTAAAAAAAAAGAATTAAACAAATAGTACTGTCAGTCTGAGAGAAGTATGATTATACTAAAGCATAATTCTCACATGGAAATCAGTGCCACCCATGTGCTTCCACCTCATCTCAGAAATATACACGCCCCACTTAAGAAAATATTTGTGTCACTCATCCTTTAATATGCAGCAGCTTTTCTCCCTCAAGTCGGTTCCTGACTATAATTCACCATCCAGTATTTATTGCCACCTGGGTCCAGTCTTTCAGTGAATGCAGAAAAACAAACAGTAGCTCCTAAAATATTATTCAACATTTTGGATAGCATAAAAACAAACACAAAAATGCACATTTTCTCAAATATGACAGTAAATCTTCATCCAGAGCCGATGGGTTTTTGGGCAAAGCGCATGTATTAGAATTCCCTCATTTCCCCTACATTTCCAAATGGCTACAGACTCCTTTAAACCAAGGCTATATAGTAAGCTACTAATTTTTACATTACCTTTGAATCAGGAGATGCGGCTTAATGAGTAACTGTGATGAGTAATTTGTCCACTGATCATAGGCTTTGTTTGATTGCACATATTTTTGATTCTAAACATTTATGAGTCACGCATAAATGTTCAACATTCTCAATGTGATTGTGTATTTCAGTGGTGGTTGTTGATGAAGTGTCAGTGAACAGACAAGGTCAAGAATTTCCACTGTTTCATTTGCTCAGTATTTACTCAGAAAGGGTCACTGAGCGTGAAATGTCTTTTGTGAAACTGTGTGACTGTGAGCTGCTTTCATTCTGGTCTAAGAAATGTTTTCAATAAATACAAAACCACAAATTATTCAGAGAATCATCTGATGTTTAGACTCTCTCTCTCTCTCTCTGCAGTGTTTATGTACCTTTTCATAAATCCTTGACTGAATGCTGTGAAAGCTGAACGCAACACAAGAAATGCCTGGTGGGTGTGCATCGTGGCCTTGGCCCTTCTCTTTCAGCTAGCTCCATTTCTTGTCACATTGGAGGAATTCAAAGAACAGTGCAAGCCAAGCGGGGGGGTGGGGGGTGGGGGGGGTGGACTGCCAGTTGCATCGTGTGAGGAAAGGCCAAAGTATGTAGAAGTTAGCATCTTATCACTTTTTCTTTTCCTCTGTTTAACTCTCTGTCCACTTCCTTATTTCCTCGTCTCTTTCTAATTAGCTATAAATTAGCTGGCGAATAAAAAACTCATAATGACTCTATCTATACAAACACGGACATACCAGATATACTCTGTGTGTCCCATAATATCTGACAAATCTTAATGAAAACCATAATATTTACTTTCACATGGCCTACACTGGCCTTATCTGGAACGGTTTCCAGAAGGCACAATCCCAGAATAGTAAGCAGCTGCAGAAAAGAAAAAAAACCAAAACATAATAAATTCAACATATACATGTGGAAAAAGATGAATTAGATATTTAAGTTTCCTTTCAAGTTTTTTAGCTGATGCTCATTTCAAAGTCTCTCGCAGAAAGAGCAACAGTGGGCTAGAATGAGCTTCCAACCAGAGCCGATATGGTCTGATCCGACAGAGAAATGTTCAGGTCGCGGAGGCCACACCCACCAGCAGATGCTCTGGCTGCTGGTGGAGCTGCCCACCTCCAGACATGAGCCGTGACAGGCAGCAAGCTGGTGGCTGAGTGGTTACACATCATCCATCTGAGTTTTTGGCATGAAAAACAGGATCTATACAGTCTGGTGGCTTTTTCTGTGTGGCTTCCAGCTTCTGTAGTCTCAGTCATGTGACAGTCATGTGTTAATAATACATGGATATTTGGTGATAAACATGTACATTAGGGCTGCAAATAAGGGTTATTTGCTGATTATTTTAATGATTATGTCCTCATTTGGTTTAAAAGAATGTTGAGAAGCAACTGAGGCCAAACTGACATCTTCAAAGTGCTTGCAGTCCAAAGCATTACAGATATTCAAGAAACTTAGCAAAAGGTCACATCTAAGAAACTGGAGCCGAGGAATATTTTCTACTTTTGCTTTATGAATGCCTTAAACGGCAATATCTGATAATTCGGCCACATGGGCGCAGCAGAAACAAGCCGTAAACACTGATATTATATTATTGATATATATTATCACCTTTTAGCTGCTATATGGCAAATGTGTTAGCAAAGAGTTTCCTACTCATATATTCATTTGAAGTGTTTGAAAGTGTGTTTCTGGCAACCTGATGACTGTAAGAACTAAGGAAATCTCTCTCTCTCTCTTTCGCTGATAAATGCTTCACTATATTCACCAGCTAGTCGCTAATTCTATGTCTTTGCCTTTTGGTGCCGGAGAGATAGCTGCAAAACCTTTTCAGCTGGAAATAGCTGCTTGCTGTGGCTAAAACGGACGCAAGAGCGAATCAAAATACTAATGTTGCTGGTTGTAAAAACCAAAACAATGAACTGAAAGATGCTGAGGCCCTTTAAAGAGGAGAACTGCAGCGTTGGGTGATAATTTTCTGTGGTTTCATTACTACAATGAAGTGAATGTAATCATTTCATCCATTGTTAATATTAAATTTTTAATTAGAGCAACTTTAATTCATTGACAGAGTTATTTTTGCTATTATGGGCCACTAGCAGCATCGGCATCAGATTTCTGTGCGTTCTCATTTTACTCCCAGCATGTCTTTGTTCTCCGGACAGCAGTTATGAAATATCCAAGATCACCACATGTAATCCTTTATCAGTGCAAGAGTCATTCTACACCACAGGCAATATCAAAATGGTAAAATGATTTAATTTGTTCCACACTTTGTAGCAGCTGACCTCTCACAGAGCGTTTTGAACCGCCCATAACTGAGAAACGCCAACGATCAAGGAAGTACATTTCTCTGTGTGAAAAAAACAAAACTGAACCTATGTACATGCTCAACAATTCTCCACTGCAGTAATAAAAGTTTAATAAATCTTTAATACATCTTTAAACCCCTCTCGTACAAATCTACTTTAACATTCCTCCATGTGTGAAAAGCTCTTGGATCCTCTGGATGCTGCATGTGGGAGATTTGAGAGCGTGTGCATGTGTGTGTGTGTCTGTGTGTGAGTGTGTGTGTGTGTGTGTGTGTTCGCCAGTGTGTCTGTGCCTAGATATTACCCAGACTAATGACTATAATTACACAGAGAACTCTACAGAGCACCCACTGGTAGTGTGGGAGGTTAATGATGGAGTGTAAGGGTGTGAAAGACAGAAAGAGAAGGATAGAAAAAGGAGAGATGAAGGGAGAGAGGAAAAAAAACAGGGAAGAAGACAAAGAAAGGGAACAATTTAAGGAGGAAGTGCAAGGAAAGTTATTTGAAAAGATATCACTGGTTAAAAACATTACTATAGTTATTACTCGACAGCAAAAGTAATCAGTTACATTACTCATTATATCAGCACAGCTCAGTCACAGAAGCTTTTAAAGAAATCCAAAACCAGGATGACTTTATTAAAAGAACTGGATATCACTCCATCAATTTCTTACACTGTACACTGAAAAAGTTCTTCAGGGTTTCTCAAGCCTCCCTGTTTTTGTGCCCACAGAACATGAGCATTACAGACTTCCTCCGTCTGAGC